TGAGTCATCAATTTCTTAACTGCTCCATTTCCTGAAGACATCCATACATCCCACTAACATGCAGATTCACTGTTATTTTCAAAGCAAATTCAGCACTGAGGCTTATTTAGACAAGGTGGATAGATGTCATCCCTGTATCAGAATACGGCATTTCTGCATGTGGTGTTGTGTTTGCAGTATGCTGTCTTTCAGCTGCACAAAAGCACGACAGATGCAGTGCTGGAATAAGAAAAGCCTTTAACTGCACCTGTGCAGGAAATACTATCAATGATCATGGTAATCCCATGCTATTTTGATGTTATAGTAAATTACATTGTATTGTTGACATGCTGGTTAAATTATAGGTGAAACTTGTTGAAGGGAAGCTCTGGGGTTAAGCCATCTGTAAACTGACAGTTTCTCATCGATGCATTTTCAAGCCACTTATACAGGAGCCTATACAGCACCGGGCAAAAGGCAGGGGTACACCATAGAAGGGATGCCCATCCATCACAGGGCACAAACCCTCTGGGTTATTTAGAGAGGCCAGTTTGTTTAACTGCATGTCTTTGGACTGTGGGAGGACACATAGGAAAGAACATACAAATCTCACACACAGAGCAAGAATACGATTCAAGCTCAGACCCTGGAGGTGTGCGGTGGCAGTGCCTTGCCTGTACACACATGCATGTGTATTGTTCTGATTTTTTTGTTATTTATAGTGGGAATAATACAGTTATGTTGCAACTGGAGAGTGCCGACAAAATGTGGATATTTTAAACAGGGTCATTTTTCATCATTTAATTTCGCTGCAGCTTAACACTGCCCGACGACAAATGTAAGACCTTGCAGGCTAATGATGGTAATTCCTTACCTACCTATTAAGGTACCTCCTGCCCCCCATTTTGCAGAAATATGACTGTCACTACTGGGTGACTGCTCTGAATTGTGAAGATAATGATAAGATTATATCATAGTACAGCCATTCCAATCGTAAGACATTCTGAGCACAGAACAATCTCTCCACCTTTGATTTTACCATCTGAGGTGATTTATTTCAATAAGCCGCTGTTCAGACACAAAAAGCTTTTGTTACTGGCAGTAATATAATGTCTCTGATGCCGCTAATTAGCAGTTTTCTACTACAAAGCAGGATATGCTTAGTTTTACAAGCTCACGGGATAAGCTGAATGGGAGAGAGGCAGGGCTGGTGGAGCTGGAGAGGGTCAGGTTCTCATGCCAACAAATTAAGGGGAGGCTTCTCTGAAACATAATATCGCTGCAGATAATTGTTTTTGACTGAAAAGACAGGCAGAAGCAGCCGGACTTGAAAGGTTTTCCCGAAATCCTGCGGCACCAAGCAACCCCCATGTGATTGCCATCGTGGTTAGCTTCTGAAATAATAGCAGAGAACTGCACTTGCTTAGTTCTGTGAATGAGTAATACAATATACAATTTTCATGGTCATTTAAAAAAAATGTTTGTGAGCTTTTATACATCTTCCTGTAGGGGCCTCCAGTTACCAGGTTTTTTGTTTTCTTTAGTGTGAATTAGACAGAGAGCAGAGTCCCATAACCATAACACATTTGTTTGGTGTCACTGGAGTTTCATGCCTGCATTTTGCATAGACACTTTGGCAAATTGTACATCCTCTATCTCACTGGGAACAGGAAATGGGCAAGTTTAAAAAGATGATAAGTTGTTTTCTTTTGCATTTTGGAAATGTGATGTCTTGCTGGCCCAGCGGGAAATGAACAGCATGAGCAGTAGTGCGCACGGTGCCTCCCCCGGTGCCTTTGCTACAAGGGGGAGCAGGGGAAGCTGATGTAAGCTGACACATCCGGTGGTACCCCCCCTCCCCCCATGAGCTGTATCTCGTCACCCCTCGGGAAAGATAGAAGTGGGCCTGCATGGCAGGGGCAGCTCTGTAATGGGAGCAGAAACAGACTTTAGCACTCAGGACCTGCCTGCCTCTGACCAAAGACAGATCCTGTCCCTGTCACCGCTGCTGCCGAATGGTACCGTTTGTCCCCGAGTTTTAAGACAAACATGCTTCCCAAAGGGCTCTCTGACACGAGGCAGCCCTAAGCTCTGTGGTCACCAGAATAGGTCCAACATGGGTACGTGAATGTTTGGCAGACGACCCACATGTACTGAGATTGATGTGTGAGCCACTGAATTTGGGTCAGACACTTTCTTTAGTAAATAAATTAATTAAGGACATATTAAAGTCAGCTCATTATCATCTATTCATTTTAGTACATTCTAAATACAGGAATACGCTAATGATTTTATGAGTGTACTTTCTATCATTTTCCATTCGCTTGCATGTCAATTGAATGTAAATCAAAATCAAAGGATATTTTCTATATGATTTAAATTGTATAGAAGCCGAAAAAACTGGTGTTTTACCTTTTGTCCATAATAAACACATGCTGAGTGTGAAACCCATTCATTACTACACACAGCCATAATGCTACAATGTTTATACTCATACCTTTCTACCGACTGTTTCTGAAAAATCCTGTTTACACACATCATGAGTCAGCTGTTTATACATTAATTTTTTCATATTGCAGTGTGTGACTGCATTCAGTAAAAGGAGCAAATTAAATTTGTCTTTCTGAAAAGGCATGTCATTGAGCAGAGCTGAATTGTTCAGCGGCTCATTAATGGGAAGGATGTAATATTCTGAACTGAGACTATGGGACTCCCAGCTCACCTATTTATAGGCGCAACATCTCCATGGTAGTCTTTGCAGCATCGTCAAGTCATAACTACCGCCCTAGACACCAATTAAGAATGAAACTAATGCATTTAAATAGCAGTTCACTTCCCTCACCGTTCCCTGATGTTCGCTCCCGGCCTTTGGAGTCGCCGAGTCACTACGAACGTTTTCTGCATCCGGGCAAAGCCACGTGGAGGACAGCGTGTAAAAATCTGTCAGAGCCCCACAATCCTGGCTATTTTTAAATGCCTTCCCTGAAAGCGAGAGGCAGCACGGTGCAAGTTTCCTGAGATGTCTGCAAATACACTGCCGTATATGAACTTATAGGGCTTTGCAAGGTAAGGGGGCCTTTCTTTGTCATTGTACAGTTAAATAGAACGAATGCTCTCAATCAGATTTATCTTATTCTGTACTACAGCCTACTTTGCCTTCTTGTCAGCATCTGTGTGGAAACAAAACATGTAAAGAGTAGCAGTTTTTTTAGCTCTGTAATTGAATGTCTTCTGTATCCTGAATATTGAATATGAGTGTGTGTGCATCTAATAAGGAAGCTAATTCTGTGATGGTACTTCATGGAAGAGAAGGAATGTTTTTGCTGCCAGCAACTGAAATGATATAATAAGGACAGGAAGCTTACAATGTAGAGGCAGCTGGTTTTCTACAGACTGTCATGCAGTTAATGCTTATTTTGCTGATAAATTGAAATGCCAGCTATTAAATCACTGTAGTGGTAACAAAGACGCTCTTAATTTGTCTTATCTTTTGTAATAAATGGATAAAATACTGTAATTAAAACTTATACATTTTTCATTTAATAATTGTACAACTGCTATTTAAAAATATATATTTATAGAGTTACCTAAAAATGTATGTGCCTTGAAAATATATATGTTCAATTGCGCAGAATTAAAAATACATATCAGGAAACAGTCGAACCTTCAACATTTGTGAAAAATGAAATAAATATGGTCAGATAGAGAAGTGTTTTGAGGAGAAGAAAGTATGTTGTTTCATAAAATTAATATTGAATGAAAATGAATGCTTTAATTGATATCAGTAGAACAACAGGTCTACATTCATGGAATGTGCAAGGCATTTCCGACCTTTTTGGTTAACTCTTGATCTGGCAGTTCTGTGCCATTTGAAAGATGGAAAATAAAGTCCTTCATTAAATGAATGCATGGATATGGACTGGTGTTTCCTAGTGATTTTAGCCGAGTCAATATGAATGAAACGGGCAGCAGGGGGGCTGTGTGAAATATAGTGACAGAAAAATGTAATGCAGCCAAGATATGGAACAACATGTCAATCAACGTTGAGTGGAGCCTTGAGGGCAACATTACAGGCACGGCAGTGGATACTTGTAGTGAAATTAACTAGAGCACCAGTGTTGGTAAATACGTATCAGCTTCAGAACATCTGTTGGGCTACATACACTTATGAAGTCTCATACATTTGTTTGTTGTGTATCAAACCTTTTTTTCTGCTCTAGTATTTAAAGTCCCATGGATTGAAGGGGTCCTCAAAGCCTAAAAATAACCAAATGATTAATTATAAAAAATATTATGGTAAATAATCACTTTACATAATGAATGATGTTGTGTGAAGTGATTCCAGCAAAGTTCACCAATGAATTGTTATCGCTATTTTTTGAGAATTTCTGAATCTGTAGTGATTGATTTGGAGCTGCATTGTTGGGGAGGGGAGGGGGCAATGTATTCAAACACTCAACCAGATGTTACCTTTGCAAATTGGCACATAATGGCTTGTACGTCTCAAATGCCTGTCATCTGGCATAAAGTGGAGCGATTGGGACTGGTGAATTCGAGGGCAAGGGTGGCAAATTGAAATCAGGCTGGTGGAACTCAGCTGGATGGGACTCAGCAGGTCAATGGCCTACTTTGAGCTACTGGAGGACAAGAGAAACAGGGTCTTCCCGGGGGAGCCACCACACACATCCTCTAATGATGCCGTAGGTGCTGCCGCATTTAGCTTCTTGTGGGGAGCTGACAGACGTTGTGCATGAGTAATGACATCCCAAAGGCTCCCAGGTTGCATTGCTGTATTAAAAAAATGAATTGGAGTTTTTTTTTTTTTAACCATCAGAGATTTGACTCGCAAGCAATGTAAAGACTCTGTTTTCATTTGAGAAGGCTGTGGGAAAGAACAGGATTGTTTTCCTCCAAGCAAGGAATTTGCTCCGGTAGATTCCAGCATAAAACGGCGTGAAAGGGCAGCCGCAATCTGGCATTAAAATACCTCTGTTTGTCTCCTCCTCTCTCTTCCCCTCCAGTTCCACCAGGTGAGAAGAGTGATGAACATCCTGTTTCTTACTATGGTTATTTCATACTTCAGCTGCATGAAAGCCGCCCCCATGAGAGACACCGCGGGCATGCGGGGGCACCAGGTGGATGGCTACTTGGGGACGACAGCGACACAGAGCCCCGGCGCTCTGGAGAGAGCAGCCACGGGCGGACGCAGGGGGGCGGAGTCGCTCACAGACACGCTCGAACAGGTGATCGAGGAGCTGCTGGAGGTGGAAGGGGAGGCCCAGTTGGTTGCAGGGGGGCCCGGCAGCAAGAGGCGGGGCGATGCGGCGGTGGAGCCCAAAGACAGCGACTTGTACTCTTCACGGGTGATGATCAGCAACCAAGTGCCTTTGGAACCACCACTTCTCTTTCTCTTGGAGGAATATAAAGACTACCTAGATGCTGCCAACATGTCCATGAGGGTTCGGCGGCACTCTGACCCAGCGCGGCGCGGAGAGCTAAGCGTGTGTGACAGTATTAGTCAGTGGGTGACTGCCGTGGATAAAAAGACGGCCATAGACATGTCCGGGCAGACGGTCACAGTCTTGGAAAAAGTCCCGGTGCCCAACGGCCAGCTGAAGCAATACTTTTACGAGACCAAATGCAACCCCATGGGATACACAAAGGATGGCTGCCGAGGGATAGACAAGCGGCACTACAACTCGCAATGCCGGACAACCCAGTCGTTCGTGCGCGCGCTCACCATGGATAGCAAAAAAAAAATCGGATGGCGATTCATACGGATAGACACTTCCTGTGTATGCACATTGACCATTAAGAGGGGGAGATAGTGAACGAAATGTATAGATTTTATTAAGTTGAAAAAGAAAAGAATAAATATCTATTTGTATATATACATAACAGGGTAAATTATTCCATCAAAAGAAAATTTTATGGACTGCATGTAAAAAAGATGAAGTTTATACAGTAAAAGTGATATTAAAGTCTATTTATTGATCATTTTCATGACCTTGTAAATGATTAAAAAAAATTCTAATCAGTCATTTGCGCACAATTTAAATTACTATATTACATTCCTCAAGACATTGTAGTTTGTTTACGTTGCCAAGAATTTGAGAAAAAAAAAGGAAAATGGAAAAGTGAGGAACAGTCAAAAATAATAATAGTAAATACTCTGCATGCTGCTTCAGTTGTGAATTAAAAAACTGTCCATTTCCGGGGAAAAGGGGACACAATTCTAACCAAAACATTCCGTTTACATTTTCAACAGTAAATGGTCTTTCCTTTCCTCAGTACTATATCTGTTTACTGCTCTAAAATTTCTCAAAGGTAATGTTCAAATTACATACTATGTCAAGGTGCTGTTGTCAAAGCTTTGCTGTTTTATTTTTTTATCCCCACGTTGAGAGAAAAAAAGATAAAAAAAAATATCAAATTTATTCATTGACATATGTTCTGGATTAATATAATTCATTTTGTATGTTGTGAAGTTGTTTGAAATATTAAATTGAACTATTTGAAGAAATAAAATGATTATAGACAAGTGAAAAGAAAAGAAATGTCAATAAAGTTTGACCTTTCCAATCAAAGGTATGTATTTAGGTAGACCTGCAACCCTGACTGGGATAAGCAGTTGAATATTAATATTTAGGTTAGAGAAACAAGCTTGTAGCCTGTCGTCTTTTCTCTGTATATAATTTTGACAAAGTATTAGAAATCATAACAAAAGTTAAACATATATTTATATATAAAGGGAAATTTATGCACCTAATGAAAATGCTTTCCATTCCCAGTAGAGGTTTACGACATAAGAATTGCAGTACAACTGAACTGGCAGCAAATTTCTATTACAAGGCCCTTAGGTTCGATAATTGCCAGCTGAAGGGGATTCACGTTGCAGCAAGTCATTGGTATTTAAGTGAAAATGTAAGTAAGATTACTCTTAATGGAAATAGTTTTTCGGTTACAGTGAAGACGACATGGCACTAAAACATCACTCCGTCTTAGATCATACAGTGCACACAAAGTATGTGGGAATCTGGACTGGCTCCAAGTACCTTTCAAGATTGGTAAATCATTTGACATTAGTATGGAAAATTGCCCCCTTGAACTTGGGTCTGGAAGAGTGGCATGTTGAGGCTTTCAGTCATGCACATTAAGTCAGGAACAGTTGTCAGATTAATACCTTTTAAAAAAAACTGAGTACAAAGCAAAATGAATCAGGGGTAAGTGTGATGAACACAATTGCCATTGTTTGATTTACATCTCAAATGTTTAATGGGTCGCAATGTTTTAAAAAAAACTAAATTGAGCTTTATATTCATATAATTTTTACCTAAAAAAGATAACAGTAACAGTTTTAGGTGAGGCTATGGCTTATTGCCTTGTGTGATTGAGAAATGTAAATTCTGATTTCTCACAAAGTGTCACTAGAGTGCTGCTTATCATTGTCATAAAACTGTCTGATGTCTTGATTATGAGGTCTCTGTCTTTGGTGTAAATGTGAGATATGACCAGCTGTGAGGCAAAATAAAGCAGGATATTTACATGAGCGATTTGGGGAGATGACTTAGCAATACGAGAGCCAATCCCCTTCTGGGAATTCAACTAGAGATTTAGTTGCAGTAGATTTTGTTGCACTCCTTATCCACCTACACCTATATTTCTTTTTTTTTTTTAAACTTTTTTTTGTTGCAGTGTGATTATTTTATTTCTGAGTAATTTAGGATTTGGCCCTCTTTCCCATTTAGTATAGCTTGTTTGTAATCATAACACACTACAATACGTTACTTACCTTGGTAGGGTCTGTATACCATGATTAAATAGCAAGGCTTGTTCAGTTTATCAGTAGGATGATGCTGTTATTATCATCTCAGACACTTCCTCTCACAGTGCTTCCTCTCCACGTCTGACTAAACATTTCGGATGTATTGAGCTTTTTCTTACTGCTGACGTGCCTGAAAGCGTATAGGGCAGAACTCCGCATACGCTCACCACAGCTTCTTTCCTCCCAGCAGCAGGATCACTTGTTGTTCCGAAGTCATTCAATCCTCAACAGGTTAACAGGAAGCTGGAGCCCGAGACACAAGGCACCAAATGGTACTTCCCATGCTCCCTCCCTCCAGGCAGGAAATTTAAAAATACCAGCCAGCTGAACAGGCATGTAGTTGAGGGACTGGGAGGAGAAAGGGAGGGAGTCTCAAACAACAGGGGGAACATGTACAAACACACACACACACACTATCAAGCTAAGGGTCAGGAGAAATTCCATTCATGCTTGACATAGTTAGATGTCCTAGGTTACCTTGTCTATTTTAGATAACCCCTGCTCTCAACCTAAAGTAGTTTTTTTCCACAGAGACAATGATAACAGCATCGGTATCCATGAGGGATCCTGAGAATGATGAGCACAGAAGGTGGTTGTGCCTTAATCACTGTTTAACCCTACAATAAACTGGTATTGACTCCTGACGCTAATAGCTCTCAATGACAGAGGTTGTCCTTCATTTCCTCACTATGCTCTGTGTGTCTCATTAATAAAGAGTCTAAATATATCAATTCATCTTCAAACCACTTAACCAGGATAATGATGGGGGAGGTCAGTGCATCACAGGGAATATCACATTCTTTAGACAAATTGGAAATATTAATTCACCTAAATGCATTTCTTTGGACAGCTGGACTAGACAACAGAACCTGGAGGAAACGCACACAACACAGGGAAAACATACAAACTACACAGAAATAAAGTGGAAATGTGATTCAAAACATACATCAGTAACACTAATCATGCTACTACAAGAGTCTAAGTATAAAACACCATATATATACAGTTTCATTTATTGTGGTGGTGAGTGATTTTGCAGATTGGAACACTGCATCTGTGATCAGAAGGTCACTGGTTCTAGTCCAGTGATCTACAGAATGATTGTACCCTTAGCCTCAATGTCTCCAGGGGATGACTGACCCATCTCATCTCAACTGTACATCAGTTTGTATTAAAGCATCGGCTACTATGTAAAACTTATACTATGAACAGGCAAGATAATCTAGACAAACAATTAGACATTCCTGATAGATAGATAGATAGATAGATAGATAGATAGATAGATAGATAGATAGATAGATAGATAGATAGATAGATAGATAGATAGATACATTTAAAAAAAGGCAAAAACAAAATTTGAGATATCCTTCATCCATAAATGGATCATTAGTAACAACAGGAAATAAGTGATTCTGTTGAGTTTAGTGGCGGCACCTTTGGCAAAAATTGCATCAGTCTTTTGGGATAAGTTGATACCAACTTTGCACTACTGGACACTCTTTGTCCATTTGTCTTTGAAAAATTGTTCAAGCCACCTCCAGGCTGCATGGGCACAAATGGTAATGGCCACTTTCATATCCTGTTACATATTCTTGACCAGACTAAGGAACCAGCACCGGGTTAGTCTAAACTTTTGTATTTGTTCTTATGTGAAATGTATTTCTTAACATCCCTTTCATCTCAGATATGATATACATAGTATACAAAGTATAGATCTGAAGTGATTTTTTTTCCGGGAGTGCTTTTTTCAGCAAAGGCACTCTCCCAAGGAGCCCAGAGTCACAAAACACTTGGGCAATTGTTGTACACATAATTTCTAGGGCAGGAGGTAGTGTAGTGGCAAAGGACATTATCTCATAACATGAAGTTTGCCGGTTTAAGTCTCAGGAGGAGCTCTGTAGTTGTACTGAGCATGTTATCTAACCTAATTACTTCAGTAAAATACTGTCAAATAAATGAAAAGTCACGTTAAAGAACGCAGCTCCACCTAAACAACTAAAAGATGTTTTATGTAAAATAATATCCCAAGACCGTAAGTGGTCTACAGTACAGCTAATGCCCTGCATGCCTGGATACTTTATTTTTAAGGACAGCCTGTTCTACACAAATTCACAGCTGTGTCTTGATTTCCTGAAATTGGGCTTTACTGTGCATCTGGGGATTTTCAGTGCCTTGAAATGCCCTGTCCTTGATTGATGCTTTTAAAAACCTTAAGCTGGGCTCTCACTGAAAGTTCCTTCATTGCATACCCAGCAGCTGCGCAGCTTCCAGACACTGGTATATTTCACCTGGACTTCACCACACACATATCGACTCCGTTTTTCTATTTATGTGACTTTCTAAAAACAAATCATTGCACCAGAGTGAAACAGAAAAGGGGACTGAATACTCATGGAATCAGGACAGTAGCCTCACTGTTTGGGGAATGGGGGCTTGTTTCGTGCCTCTGGCCTTGCGTATGTGACATTTCATGTACACCCTGTATCGGAGAGGGTGAGTAGGATGTCCCCATCCTTTGCTTTCATTTTAAGTTTGACATTAAAATATTATGTTAGTCACTGATGATTGAAATTCCCCTTAAGCACAGTGAGTACATAGATACATACACAGACGCTCCCTGGGTTACGATGGCCCATGTCACGATATTTCGACTTTACAATGGGTATAATTATTCAATACATTATATGACATATTCAATACTTTTTTGTAAATTGGGCTCTATGTTAATAATTTTCTCCAACTGCAAGCTTAATGTAAGTGTTCTAAGCATGTTTAAAGTAGGCTATAGGCTAGGCTATAATGTTTGTTAGGTTAGGTGTACTGTATTAAAATGCAGTTTCACAATAGTTTCACCTTAGAAAAGCCTTATCGGAATGTAACCCCATCATAACCTGGGGAGCGTCTGTATTATGTATTTGGATTGAACATTGAACAACAGGGTTGCAGAACTGGAATATCATTTCATGACATGAGATCAGGTGGGGGAGAGGGACATAGAGGCAAGTTAGAAGTCTGGGCTGATATTGACAGTAAATCTTGATTAAAGAAACATCATGTAGCCTTAGCATTTCGCGTTTTGCTCACTGATGGGCCATAGGTAGCCAGTGACTCAGAATAACAAGGTTATTGGCTAGCCTCTCACAGTGCACCATCTGCTAAATATTATCATTTACATCATCCCAGTGACAGTTTTAAAGGTTAAATGTTTTCTTCCTTAGCATGGATTTAATTATTAAGCACAATTCCACTCATATTTCAAGCATTAAGAAAGTGGGAACGGCCATATAAAACGGTATAAAACACGATTTTAACTTAAGTTCCTTTTCAAAGAAAATAAATCTTTCGTTTGTTGAGGGGAGATTCCAATATCTACCATTACAGAGGCTATAATGTTACTACAGTATCAATTAAAATCTCATCACTAGACATTCCAAGGGAGACAAATGGTGTGATGAAATTTAAAAATGCTATAAAAATAGCAGATGATTGGAATGCAGACTGGTAATGCCTATGCCACACACTGAATAGTATAATATACAGGATTACAGTCTAAAATTAAATTGAGGATCATGCCCAATTAGTTATTAATATTGCTCTGATTAGTAATAGTCAGTAGCTCTTTAATGTTTAATGTTTAGACTGAACCAGGTGACCTCTGCTAAAACTAACCTTTTTTAATAAAATTTGGAGCCCTCACCCCTGGTCAACAACTTTTACTGGTGACGCCACCCCCGGTCGACAACTTTGCATAAAGGAAAACAAGGAGTGGCTCTGAAAACTTAAATAGCCCAGAGGTCCCTGACCAAGTTAAATCGTCTCTGACAGTGGTAGAAGTAGAACAACTGTAAAAAATATTAATGAAATAACAATGACAACAATAATAAAACAACGTAAACGGCGCAGCTTTCTGCACAGAGGAGATGTACAGCCTTATTAGTTGGTCAAGGCTTGTTACCGCTGTGTTATACACTCCCACCAGCTGGGGGCAGCGCTCGGTATCCAGCCTCCGCAAACGGAGACCGCATCCAGGCGAAACTGTGTTCAGTGTGTCGTGGGCGGGATCGTTATTTACACGAAGAGAAACTTCGCTGTTGCTGAATTTTTCGTGCGTGGAACCCGTCGACGTCGCATCGAACATGGCTTCACTGAGTGAGCCGATCCGGCTGGAGAGAGGTAAACGCAGACTGGGCTGAATGGACGCTCCTCTTGGGCGCTTGGCTGCATTTACGTCCGGGAGACGCCGCCTGTGACCGGACACACTCTGTGTGTGCTAACCGCCTGGCATCTGCCAGTTTCACTAGAAGTGCTAAGGAAAATACGCACGTTAGTGTGAGCGGTGGCCCTTATTATTATTATTATTATTATTATTAATATTAATAATAATAATATTGTTGGATACCTGACTCGTTCTTAACGTCACTGTAAGCTAATGGCAGCCTGTCGGAAAGGCCTTTATCCCTGTTTGAAGCGGCTGGTTCCCGGAAGGAGCCATCCCGCACTGATGATGGTTATAAATGAACCGGGCCAACCAGGTCAGGGCTGTTTAAAGCATGGCCGTCAAGGTCCGTGAGCCTGGAGTGAAGCTTCTGGCCAGTCAGAATAAGTAATTACTAAATCAACTACCTGGGAGAACTGAGACCAAGGCCTGGATTTGGAATCGAGGTCCAGATTTGAAGAGCCCCTCAAAGTGGTTGTCCCTATGCCATGTTGTAGCTCTGTATGCCCACGTTGGCGGGAATGCTCTGCAAGGCACACAAATCTGCGTATTAAGGAAACACAAAACATCAAGAAATGAAACATGTGCAAAACAAGAATTTATTTTCTGACCGTTTAGATGATGTCCATCCCCATACCATAAAAGCACAAAATGGCCCTTTGTCAAAAATTGTGTATTTTTAGGGTTGTAATGGTTTGTGTATTCATGCGACCTCTAATTAAGCTGAAAAGCAAGGTCCTCCAAGTGTTCTGGAGGAGAACCAGCTGCCCGTTTCCTCAAACTGTCTAGGTGAAAACAAAAGAAAAAGTGACCAGATCTTTATAGTTATGGGAAAGTCGTATAAATTGTATCATGGCTATAAACTGGATTTGAAAAGGGCTTTTTCCAGAGCGAGAGAGAGAAAATGTCAGACAGTTGCTATCAAAGTGTGAACTTTTATTGAGACATTTTTAAGAAACATTAATCATATTATAAATGTATAACAGACTATAAAGTTAGATTCCTGTATTTAATATTTATCAACATTTTAATGAAGAGAGAAATTATTAAAATGACTGATTAAAAAAATATGTAAAAACAATGGAGGCTTGAAAATGATATATACATATTTTTTTCTGTACTGTTCCAGCAGAAGATATTTAAAACATATTTATAAGGATTGTCAGATAAATTGTGGCAGGCTTTCTGTTCGGCAGATATCTCTCGGGCCATTGAGCTGCTGGACAAGCTGCAGAAGACTGGGGAGGTCCCCCCGCAGAAGCTACAAGCACTACAGAGGGTGCTGCAGAGCGAGTTTTGCAATGCTGTGCGAGAGGTAGGTGAAGCCACGTCACACACCAATCAGGAGCATCGGTCTAAACTGGTTAAACAATAATGTTAAAATACTGCTACTGTATGTCAGAGTTATTCTTTCCATATTCCAGGCTTTTCCTTATGACTACATCATGGCTAAATCCTGAAACTAATTTAACTTTTCCAGACCTTTTTAATTTTTGCTTGATAAAATTATGCAATGCCAAATGAAAGAATGATTAACTCTTAATTATATAGATTATGTGAATGATTTAATAGTTCATAATAGGGCTGGGCGATATCATATCGATATTATATCGCGCATGTGCAATAATCACCAGGGCTTCAGATGACAGACGAAGCATTTGGCTAAACACCAGCTTTTCGGTGCTGTACGGACATTTATTTACGCCCATAATTTGGTAAGAAGATTAGTAGTATGGCTTAAATATTAATGAGATGCATTTTGTGATACCCAAAAGTTAGTAATCTTTTTATAAACTTTATGTTTCTTAAATTCGATTAGCAGAGCACACCACATAATAAACTGTATTGGTATACTATGGTTTGGTGTTCAATGGTTTGGCATACCTCAGTGCAATATGCACTGAAGTCACGGTGAAGAGGAGCAGCCACGACATCTTTTAAAAGAAGAGATCTTGTGGATAAACAAGGTAAAAAGACGTTGGCGTTGTGGTGGTACTTTTTTTCAGTTCAAAGTCTGACACATTTATTAAACATAATATGCCGTATTTATACTAATAATGGAAAAAAAGCTGGCGTTTGGCCAAATGTTGCGCCTGTCATCTGAAGCCCTGGTGATTATTGCACATGTGCGATGCAATATCGATATATCGCCCAGCCCTAGTTCATAACGTTTGCCCAGCTAAATTGTTTATTGACTGATTAATGGTCAGTAAGTAATCTTCAAACAATATTCTGCTTATATATAAATGAATTATTTAAGTAATTTCACTGCAGCACTACCCCCCAACCCGCTGGCCAGCCTGTCAGGCATACTACCATTTCAACTGCTGAATATGTTTCTCTTTAAAAGTTACTTTTACCATATGATTGCAACTGAGATGAATAATTCTGTGATTAAAAAAAACATGAAATTGTAATAAATCCTGGGACAGATATCTAGCGCTATCCCAGTTGAGAAAACAGAAAGCAGTAAGGATTCATTTAAGGCCGACTACCTTTTGCAGTGGGGACAGGACAGTTTTTCTGGCTACAGCTGGACTGTCCATTCTTACGACTGTCCCTTAAGGCTGAGAATATGATTGGCTACTGTGATGGTTGTGGCAGATTTTCCAGTGCTGCGTTTGTCCACCCAATGGCAGCTCATTTAAAGTGTGTAAAAACTGGGAGGGGGTAAACTGAAAGAAGATGCAGGTGGGAATGATGTAGAGATGGCAATTTCGAATCATCAAAACAATTTCGAAACATTCGAAACAAACAATGTTTTGAAACGGTTCGAAAAGTTTCAAAGCACTAGTTGTGCACGACCTGCTGCCAAAAACCGGAACTGCAGCTATAGCAAATACGGCAGAATAAAAACCTATTGCTGCAAGTTTCGAATGTCACGAAGCTTACTTTTCTTAATTTTCCTATTCAGACATGGATATTTGGTTTATGCTTGTGATTTGGATATTTCAATATTATCAGACTTTTTTGTTCACTGTGTCAAGGCCAATAGGATGTTGGGGTATATCTCCAGGTGTGTGGAGTTTAAGTCAAGGGAGGTAATGCTAAGATTATACAATTCCTTGGTGAGACCTCACCTAGAATATTGTGTACAGGTTTGGTCACCATATCTTAAAAAGGACATAGCGGCCTTAGAAAAGGTGCAGCGTAGGGCCACAAGAATGATTCCTGGTCTTAGAGGAATGTCATACGAGGAAAGGTTATTTGAGCTAAATCTGTTCAGCCTCAAGCAAAGGAGACTGAGGGGGGACATGATCCAGGTCTATAAGATTCTAACCGGTTTGCATGCTGTTCAACCGAATAGTTACTTCAGCATTATTTCCAATACAAGAACTCGTGGCCATAGGTGGAAATTAGCGGGAGAACATTTCAAACTGGATTTAAGGAAGCACTTCTTTACACAGCGTGTAGTCAGAGTATGGAATAGTCTTCCTGATAACGTAGTGCAAGCTGAATCCTTGGGTTCCTTTAAATCAGAGCTAGATAAGATTTTAACAACTCTGAGCTATTAGTTAAGTTCTCCCCAAGCGAGCTCGATGGGCCGAATGGCCTCCTCTCGTTTGTATAGTTCTTATGTTCTTATACAGTTTAGATGAATTGTCATCTCTAAATTTTCCCTGTTATGTGGAAAGTGTGTCCTGTGATAGTGTGTCTACATTGTGTTGGTTTTGGAAAGAATATTGATTTTTTTTTTAAGATTCTGTGGGACATGTATACGGTTGTCATTAGAGAAGTGGTTGTTAGTACCACATTGGTTTTCAGTCTTTCTACTTGTATTTTCCTTTGGCCGTTACTTGTCTGTATTGAGGTTAGGCAGTCTGAGCCTTGTGAAGGAGCAGGGTGGACATTTTCATTATCTAAATTCTGAGGCACCAATGTCTCGGATTGTCAGCCTATTTTTCAAATGTCATGCTAATATGGTCCACTGTGATTTCAAAGCATTCATATACTGTAGTGTATTGGGTCATGGTGACTCAGTAGGAAGTGCTATGGCATCACTCCTTTGGTGTTGTGGGTTCCCTTCCTGTCCCTGCTTTGTTGTGGTGTTTGCGGATTTTTGTGTGTTCGCGAAAGTTTCTTACAAGTACTTCCACAGTTCCTTCAACAGTCCAGAGACAAGCAGCAATCAGTGTCTCTAAATTTCCACGTGCATGCGTGAGAGAGGCTGTGTGTCCTGTGATGGACTGGTATCCAGTTCAGAGCCTATTATAGCGCACAAGATTTAAGTCCACTATCCAAAAAGAAATAAAATACAAGTTAAAGAGAGTTTAAAGCAAATGTGAGCACTGCTGTTGTTACAATATCTGCTACTGATCTATTCTCTCCTAATAATTATACATAATTATGTCAAATGAGGAAATTGCAGGGAATTGTTTATCAATGGAAAGAGATGGGTGTTTGTTTACTAGTATAATTATAGGTGTGTGTCGTCTGTGGAGTTGATTGAAGGTCCAATTATCCTTAAAAGAATTATTTTTTTTCTGGCCCATGCAAAACAGCTGCCTCAACCCAATCTGTAGCAGGATTCTCACGTCTTACATGCCTATGGGAGGGTGACAGCCTTGACTCTTTCTTTTAGGTGTACGAACACGTATATGAGACGGTGGACATTAACAGCAGCCCGGAAGTCAGAGCAAACGCTACTGCTAAGGTAAACCCCCATCAGGTGCTCCTGTCCACACCTTCATCTTCACAAACGGTCTAATTCATCTTCTCCATCCCAAACACGTTTTTCATTCAGTATAGCAGTAATGCTTGTCCCATTCAAAAATGAGAAATAACATATCTAATTGGTCTTTTAATGTACTACTTTTAATAAACTAATTACCATTAATAATGAATGAATTATCCTCATTATTAAATAATGACATGGCCTGTGGTTTCTGGCCACCTGTTGTTAGCTGCAGGATTAAATTAAGTCTTATCTTTTTCTTTAATGGGCCAGATTCTGGTCAAGAATGAACCAGGCAGTGTGCTTCTCAATAGACAGTTAAACAGTGTAAATCATTGTCTTGAGTCATGACGTTAATTTCATTTCTGGCCAAATGGAAAAAGGAAGGATTTGCACTTCATATCAGCTACAATTTTTGAAACCCACAGCCTTGCAGGTCGTGTGGTTAAACTGTTCTTGGCTTGAATTACATTGGTTATTTCAAATCATTTTTCTGTAATGTTCTCAAACTACCTTACAGCTTGAAAACAACTGCATATCTGTGTATCGTTAGCAAAAATCAATCTGTAATTGATTTTTAATTTGCTGTAAATATGTCACAGGCTATACTCAAGGGCAGGCTTTCTGTATACATTTTTCTTGGGCAATATCATATTGAAATATTCTTGATATATGATGCATCAAGGCTGATATTCCCAAAACAGAAGTGCAATAGTTTAAGAACTATTGTAGTTTCTTACACAATATATGAATCGATAAATTCTTTGATATTGTACTTTTATGTTAGCAGAAGCAAGAAGTGGTTGTAATGCCCCATAAAATACCAGTCTGTCCACAGATATTCTCACTTCCTGTGTGTTGATTCTATGTAGTGTGCATTGTCATTGTAGGCAATCAATATGCAAAAGGGCTCAGACCAAGCTTAATTGGTGTCTCATTAACAGTGCTAATTAGGTGTGAGGAAACATTGAGACTGACCTGGAGCAGTGCAGACACTATGCAGTTGCAGATCTCCCTCTCTAAATTCCTCACTTGGCAGTGGATGCTGAAGACAATGCATATTTTTTCCTTGTGTGCTGGTTTTGGCAGCAGTGCGACTGCATCTCTGTCAGAGCATTCAGCTGATGTTCAGTGTTTAATTCAGCAGCTCAGCAGAAGGCTTGCTGGCTGCATGAGTGAGGCACACAGACCTCGATTACGGCTTTTAATTACAAGCCGGAGCCACTTGAACCCAGCTGATCTGCTCTGCCACTGTTCTCTAAATATATACAGCACCCTACAGTTTTGTTAATATTATACATTGAGGAAGGTAGGGTGCAAAACACAACTCATTAAGAAAGCACAAATGCTTTAAGAAAACAAAACACCATCGTTTTGTCAGTGTTTTCTGTGAGATGGCACAGTACCTTGGTGGGTGTCTAATTGATCTCGCTCTGAACTACCAATAGAGTGTCATTGTGTGTGACTGTGTGCATGTATGTGCCCTGCAATGGACTGATGCCCTTTCCAGGGTGTACCCTAGTCTACAATAGACTCCCATGATCCTGACCAGCATAAGCCGTTTGAAGATGGATTGGAAGATTTTTACATTTTCTTAATTTTTGGGTCCAAATGACATCGATGGCATTTCAATCATTGTCACATTTTCCAGAAGTTCTGCTTGTACAAGTGAAAAGCCTTCCGATTGTCTGGTAACATTTCAAGCTCATATTTATGCCTACCTTAGACCAGTGTTTCCCAACCCAGTCCTCGGGGAACTGCAGACTGTCCACGTTTTTGCTCCCTCCCAGCTCTCAGCCAAACAGGAACACTGAATACCTGGTACAGGTGCGCTGGGAGCTGAGAGGAAGCAAAAACGTGGACTGTCCGGTGTTCCCCGAGGACTGGGTTGGGAAACACTGTCTTAGACTATATACAAAGCCTTTCAGGGTTTTCTTGAACAATGTGCATAGTACTTGCTCTAGGACTCCTATTGGGTCTATTTGACGTTATTCTGACAGCAGACATCACAATAAATGCAGTGTTAATTTATTGCCGGTGCCATTTTCATTAACATCAACATTATTAAGGTAAAAAAAAAAAAGTGATTCTAATGTAGCATGTCAGGAAAACAGCCTCTCTAGCATTAGCATTTATCATGAGCATTCATATCTACTATAGAGTCTGTGAAAGTCATCATGTTTTATCGATTTAATAGCACTTGTGTGTGTGAGAGTGAAACAGTTTTCTAAGAGACATAATCTAAAAGACTTGCATTACATTTGTGGTGTGCTTCCCTGCTGAGGAGTGAGAAATGTTGGTGCAAGGCAGCCTCATGAATGCTGAATGGAGCTTATTGAGTGATTTAAACCTGCTAGCATGTCACTCTGAAGCGAAAAGAGAGAAATTAAATGTAGAAACATTTAGTGGTGAAACATTTGGGTTCAACAGGATAAATAGTTTTTTTTTAACTTTTGGTTAAAAAACATAAAAAATTATGAGGAGTTTTCCCTACATTGTCATGAAGACTAACTTCATCTTAAATTCAGTATTTTTGTTACTTAGGAGTGAGTCTGTCACCAAGATTGTTAAACTAGGTCAAACTAGTTTCAGCAGGGGTTTTTCCCTCCTCCAGGTGTATAAATAATAAATAGAAGAGATTCTGACAACCTGTGCTGCTCATGCTAAGAGTTTAAAGGTACAAAATCTGAATTGAACCTTCATGATGAGATATTCCTTGATTATAGTTGGCTCAAACACCAAATATTTGTCATATTCTCCAGCCCCCTGCCTTGGTGCAACAAACCTGTCTCTCTCAGACACATGAATTACTTTTACTTTTATTTAGCAGATTTTTTTATCCAAAGCGTCATATGAGCAAAGGCAGAAAATACATTACAAGCAGGGCCTCTCGTCCACTCATGTATCTCCTATACAAGATAGCATTTTAAACTTCCAGCCTGTACTGTAACACAAAGCCAATTCTTCTTTGTCCAATACACATTTTGGATTTGGTCCCAGTATGAATTTTGCATTGAACTCAGTAACTTAAGTGGTGCTTTAAATTCCTGGTAGTACTTAGTATTATAAATAATTGCAATGTTTAAATAAAAATAGGTTTGATATATACACACACACTTTTTATTATTATTTTTTATTTTTTTCTTACACAGTTTGTGCTAACAATATTAAAATACTGACCAAATTTGCCTAATTTGTTTAGCTATCTAGCCAATTAGATGTAGCTACATTAGCTGCTAATGTTGGGATCTTCTGTGTAACATCGTTTCTGAAAAACACGTTCAGCTGCTCATCTGCTGTGTATCAGTTAACATGGTATAAAACGCTCCTGTTACTGCAACAGCCAATTAGGTATAACGGTGCCAGAAGAGGGTACAGAGAGAGAAGGAGAGAAGATATAAAAAGACACCCCTTTATCTGTCCCATAAATTCTTAACAAAATAGCAGGAGAAACAGCCATGTTTCCTGCACTCTCGTGTCCTCCTCCGTGTATTCTCCTCATTACATAATCGTGACACACAGGATGATGCCCAGTACCACAAACTCCTACCCATATTGCTACATGTTTCTGTAGTTGGATGCTGAGTTTTTATTTATAATTTCTTCTGTCTTTTCTTTATTGTTAACGTGCAGTTATCTACTTGTTAAGCATAAGTGCTCTAAAATACAATAATATATCCTCTGTGTGAGATGTGTTAAATCTTTAATTAGGATACATTATCAGAATAGTCCAGTCAGTATTTAATTTTTGTGCTTTTGTCAGATTTTTTGGTTTGCATGCAGTTGGTTTTCTCTGATAAAGTGAGTAACTTTCTGTGAAGGTATCTGTGTTGTTTCTGGCTGCCCCCTCCGTGGATGGCCCTGTGGGGCAGCAGGCTGATCAGGGGTGGTTTGCAGTCACATACAGTTCAGCAAGGTTGTCCAGAGTTGGCCAGTCTATTTTTGGTGCTGCTCAAAGGCATTTGTTTTAAATTAATTTGACGACTTTTATGTCCTGTGTGCTGCCTCACGTCGCTGCTTGATAGCTTGTGTGTCATACCTGTGTTTGAGGCCGCATATACAGTGGGTGTCCTGTGCATTTAGCTGGGTTTGAGAAAGCTGCTAGCTTATTTCTGAAATGCTATGTAAAGACCTATATAAAATTTTGCACTGGCTTTTGTAGGGGTGTGCGATATGGCAAAAATATATCATGATTTTTGTTTTTCAGGCTGGATCGTGATCTACAAACTTATCAAGATTCTTTTTCATGTTGGTATTTGAGACTATTCTGCAAGTTACTGAACAGTACAACCAAGCTAATTTCCCTATTTTAAAAATACAGCTAAATGTAACCAAACCTAAATGAAAACCATAGTATATTCTTTCAGGTGTTTTCTTTTGATGTGGTTAAAAAGGTTTGTTTTGCCATCCAACGTGGAAACCTTATCTTTGCAAATTTTGCAAATAACTGGTGTTTGCGCCTTGTCAGTTTTGGAAAATCCAGCAAAGTTCTGTATTACCGATATTGAATTGTTTTTAGGGGCCAACTACGTTGTCAAATAGGAAATGTTGCATGTTGGGCCAAGGGCGTGAAAGGGAGAGAGAAAGACATCCACTACTGTTCACTATACCGGTTTATTGGTGTGTTGAAACAGATTTGCCTGACAAAACAACTTTAGATGCGTGTATGAGCCATAGAACCGCAACTGACACTAACCCGATTTAATATTGTCAAATTGCACACCCCTAGACTTAAGTCTTCAGCCCCATTTATTGAGCTGAGGTGATCACTTTTGATGGTTGCATATAAATTCCTGAGTCTTACCTCTCCCCTGGTAGGCCACGGTGGCAGCATTTGCAGCCAGTGAAGGACATTCGCATCCGCGTGTGGTGGAGCTGCCCAAGACGGAGGAGGGCCTAGGCTTCAACATCATGGGGGGCAAGGAGCAGAATTCGCCTATCTACATCTCTCGCATCATCCCCGGGGGCATCGCCGACCGCCACGGGGTGTTGAAGAGGGGGGACCAGCTGCTGTCTGTCAATGGCACGGTAGGTGTCCACCAGCGCTAAACATAACATGGGTTTTCCACACGCTTCCCCGCTGCAGCTGCACACTACAGCTGTGCCGTAGGCACCAATGTCATGCTCTGATTTATCTGTGTAATTTAATGTGCCAGGTACCTTTTTTGACAGGTAATGTGATATATAAAGTATTGATGGAACGGGTAGCTGTAGTGAGATGGAGTATCTCAGAGAATGGGAGCAGGTTCAGGTGCTGGAGAAGGTGCCTGTGTTCTCATCTCATAGAGTGTGGAGGGGGAACATCACGAGAGGGCTGTGGAGCTCCTGAAGGCCGCGCAGGGCACAGTCAAGCTGGTGGTGCGCTATACCCCCAAGGTCCTGGAGGAGATGGAGTCGCGCTTTGAGAAGATGAGGTCTGCGAAACGCCGCCAGCAGAACAACTACCCCCAGTAACTTTGGATTTGTCAAACAGGGTCCTTCTTATCTTTCCTCTTCTCCTTTGGGCTTGCTTATTTCATCACTGTACATGACACTAAATCTCCTCTTATGATGGCTTCTACCCATTATCATTGAGTATCTTTCACTCTTCATCTACAATCTAATATCATAGAATGATCCTTTTTTGTTTTCCTTATATGTGCATGTAAATGTTTGGAGAGTCATTACTTCAGTTATGGGTTTAATCACTATGGTAATAATCCTTATCTGATGCTGTGCTGGTGACATCCTGAGTTTATCTACAAGAACAAGCAATCAGCAGAGATGAGCACTTCTGCATATGGAAAATGTGTAAATAGTTCATTGTAAATTCTACACGAATGAACACAGGTTGTCCTTACGGGTTTGTTAATTTAAGTCTGCTTGTTTTTATACGTCAGTCAGATTTTTTATGTATGCATTGATTTTCAGTATTTGTGGGATTGGTGATGTAGGTCTGTGTAGGTGTGGTAGGAAGTGTATGGGGTAATCCTTCATAACGTTTTATTTTTAGGTGATTGCCATTGGAGGGGGGTGTGTGTGTGTGTGTGTGTGTATATATATGTGTGTGTGTGTGTGTGAGATTGAAAGGACATGGACCTCTGAGCTGAAATTAGTTGAAGGGGAAAGTGACTCTTTATTAACATGTAATTCAATTTAATATAATGACCAATAGGCATTTTTTTGTTTTTAATATTTAAATTGGGCAGGTTTATAAATATATCCACAGGAGAACTATACCTCAAACTACAAAATAAAGAACATGCAATAAACCCATTTGAGGCAGAAACCGATGTAGCAGAAATTGTGTGAAAAACACAGGGTAGACGCACTGTCTGCCTCCGACCACACACCTTCTGTCCCTCAACTGTGGAGGTTGCTAAGTAACTAAGTATCACCTGATACTGTTGGTTCCCTTTCACTGGACTATGCTGTGTGTCAAATTGGACTTTTTGCCTCTTGCCAGCTTAGAGACAGGATGAAACCTTAAAAAAGTACCACCTGCCACCCCTGCTTATTGTAGGCAACAGCTTTTAAATGAGCAGACTCAGTTTCTACGAGTCTATATTCTTCTGCAGCCCACAAGTAAAGGAGAATAACAGCTGTATTCCTGATATTATCCAGTGCACTGCATATGGGGTAAGGATGCCTTGTAAGCTATTCAGCTTGCATGACTGTGATAATCCTTTCCACTAGCATTTCAAATATTACTTCTTATAAGACATGAACATATTCATAAGTATGAAATGAATTATAGAGAGAGCATTCCTGGGGCTGAAATCGGTCTGCTTGAGTTGTAATCGACAAGCTTGGTGCAAACTGCCACTCACCTCAGGGACACGGCAGATGATGTTTTTAACCAGCTGAAAGCTGATGATTAATTATCACCTGACATTGTGGGTATAGGTCCTGCAGCATTTTTCCAGCTAATGTCAGAGGTTTTGCCCTCCTAGTGTCACCCATACTGTTATTTTATACTGATTTTACAATACATTTTCTATTAAAAGTATCTCTCTTATTTAGGATTAGGAGTAGGGTGTCCAGATTATCTATTGCTGTGGAATTTTTACGTTTAATTTTTAAAAATCTATTGTGTGTCAGATCTTTGTAGTAACTGTACATACTGCCTTCTGAAATTTATTTTCTTATTTATACTTAAACTGTATGTGCTTTACAGACAGGATAATGCATAACTACTTTCCCATCAAACAGTCCAATCAAACTATGCAAACATGAGTGCAAGACCTTTACTGTTCCTCTGTAATTATTTGTCTAGATTCTAGAAGTATTAGGCATAGTCATTTAACTGTTACATGTTAACAACCCCACCCATCCAAAAAATCATAAGTAAGGAAAGCAGCACATTTATGGCTGTTGAACTTATGATGAGCTTACTCTGTGACACCATAGAATTTGATATCCTTCCTGTCTCAGGACTGACCCTGCAAAAAGATTTAGCTTTTCTGAGTACTGTTCCTCTACAAGTTCACAATATTTTTCTTTTAATTTTGTTTCCCACTAGAAGAAATTGCTGTTCTATTTTCTTTAATGAACCTTTGTTTTGATATTGTTCTCTTTTTGATAAAGATTGTTCATTAAAAATGCTAATAAAATATCACTATTTATTTTTTATTTAGTACATTTCCTGTATCTTGAGTAACAAAACCAAGGATTACTGATGGTAAATGTGTTCCATTTGATTTTTTATTTAAGAAAAATGTTATACCTTTCCCTCTTGTTTTGTGTAACAACGATGATTGTATACAATATTGTGGGAAAATAAAGTTATTTGCTTGAATGGTACACATTAATTATCCTATAGAGTTTTTTTTCAGTGTTTTCATCCGTTGCCATGGCTGACAGGTTAGGTCATCCTGAGGTGTGTGTGGATTAGGGATGAAACAGTTACTGGTTTCGTGGTAAACCATGGTAAAATTCCCCATGGTTATTTTTACTGTTTAAATTTTTAATTATTAAAATTGCGCTTTGAAGAATTTGTGTTAAATACTGTCCAGCATTAACCAAAGTTAGCAACAGTCTCCCAGTTACAGGGGCAGCATGCAACCTGGGTTTGATTTGTGTCAGTGAAAAACATGGCTTAAGGCAGTGACAGCGCTCCAGAGATTTTTAATGTTAATGCACATTTGATATGGGTTTCATATGTTAAGTCAGTGGTTCCCAAACTGGGGGGCGCACCAATGGAATAGCCTCAGGGGCAAAATAATCTCTTCACAGACTGGACAATTAAACAAATAAAGCAGCGCAACACTACAATAACTAACAATATATAACAATAACTACCTTACGTGTACTACTAGAGCATTTATGTAATTTATTTAAACTTTATTTTACCAGGTAAATTAACTGAAAACCAGTTCTCACTGCTTTACGTGATATTCGGGAGAAATAGCAGATAACGCATCGGAACTTCCTGGGATTCAAACGTCACGCTCTTCAGCCAATAAGGGCAAAGTTGTGTCGTCCCGGAGGCAGTTCCAGTTTGTTCAGCCAGCTGAGAGGTGCTGTACGATCTGTCTTAAGTCGTCTTGCTCTTGCAAGGTTTTTGTACCCTGTGACATGGTGACGCGTGGCAACGTTTTGCAGCGCCAGACAAAATAATCTAACCATATCATGAAAAACGAGGTTTAAAATTTTCTACATGAAATGCAGGGAGACTATCAATTAATGGGTATGATTTAGTGTTGTTTTGTGCTATAGTATAGGCTGAAACCTGCGGTTATTAAAAACAAAATACGGTAATCGTAAAACAAACTTTAATTTGTGTACGCCAATGAATATTAACAGGAACGTTAAATCTGTATTTGCATAATTTCAAACTCATGCTGGACTTTTATTTTTATTTGATTGCTCTTCTTTTCTCCCACAGTGGTGAAATTGCACCATTTGTATTTTGTAATTGCATTTGTTTCGCTCAATTAGAAAAGGGAGTTGTATTTCAAATAAAGTTTGAATCTGAACCTATGTAGTTTGAATGGGGGGGGGGCTCAATAATGTTCCTATCTAGAAAAGGGGGGCCCTGCAGAGAAAGTTTGGGAACCACTGTGTTAAGTGATGATACTTTATTGACCCTCATGGGTATTAGCTATTAGGTGTATGTATGTTACTGTAATGTTTAAGCAAACAAAGTGCATAGTGCTATTAATTTTATTTGGGGTTTTCAATATAAAAGCTTGTGTATATCAGTACTTTTGAATATTTTCAGAACATTCTAATAATTCCATAATAATGCTGATAACTGTAATAAAAAAATTTCACACAATTTCATCTCTAGTTTGGATGCCAGTTCAGTGATGGGGGTCGCTGCTGCAAAAATAGTGCCAGCCTTTGGATGAGACATAAAACTGAGGTCCTGACATTCTTGGGTCATATCCCTAGGCTTCTTTTGAGAGAGTAGGGGTGGTACCCTGATGCCCTGGCTAAAATTGCCCACTGTGGCACTTTCATATCTGGCCTCCTAATCATCTTGAATAGCTAACTGGTAGGGCTAAGCGATACCATATCGATATTATATCGCGCATGCACAATAATCACCAGGGCTTCAGATGACAGACGAAGCATTTGGCCGAACGCCAGCTTTTCGGTGCTACACGGACATTTATTTCCGCCTATAATTCGGTAAGAAGATTAGTAGTATGGCTTAAATATAAATGAGATGCGTTTTGCGATACCCAAAAGTTAGTAATCTATATAAACCTTGTTTCTTAAATTCGATTAGCGGAGGACACCACATAATACTGTTTTGGTATACTATGGTTTGGTATACCTCAGTGCAATATGCACTGAAGTCAAGGTTGAAGAAGAGCAGCCACAACAAACTCTTGTGGATAAACAAGGTAAAAAGACGTTGGCGGTGTGGTGGTACTTTTTGCAGTTCAAAGTCTGACACATTTATTAAACATAAGGATATGCATATTTATACTAATAATGACTTTTGGGCGTCATACAAAGCCTCATTAATATTTTAGCCATACTACTAAACTGCTTAATAAATTGTGGGCATAAATAAATGTCCATATAGCACCGAAAAGCCGGTGCCTGGCCAAGTGTTGTGCCTGTCACCTGAAGCCCTGATGAAAAATCCATATTTTTCCTTTTTCCACCTGCGTATTCTGATTTCTTTGATCTCCCCATGAAAAAAATGTGAACATGGATTTCTGGAATGATATTTTGCCGTAGAACTTGAGACCAGGTGTCTTGCATGTTTGTAGCATGTTTACCGTCTTTCAGTTATGATAATATGCAGAATTGGAATATATTTGGTAGAACAGGGAAGCATCAACCTAACCATAGCAATGTCAAAAGTTTTGCTATTCCTCAGAGTTACCTCTAGGTGGTGCTGCTTCTCCATTTTTAATGCAATTTACTAATAAATATTTAATGACGAAAGTAAAATATCTACTTTAAGATATTTACTGCATAGGGTAAGTACAGTAAATATTCTAAGTTTATATTCAATCACAGCCAGTCATTCCTTAGATTGTTTCTGATTATGAATGATTCATATTGTATTTTCAAACAATTTCTTCAGGGATAAAAGTATTCTGATTCTACAAAAAATCATTGATTGGCAATTTATCTGGTGAAATCGCTGCACATTTAACGGTATTGTGTGCTTACCATTAACTATAAAATGATAGACTCAAGATGAGAAATTTAACCTGTTATTGGTCTTTTCTTGATTAATTTTTACTTAAAGTTGGAATTTCAATGTAGTATTGTTTTCTTTAAATATTTTCCCAATTGTATGTAAAATAAAATATTTTTAAAAGTATGAGTTTTAATACAGTAATGTTTTACTTAAATATTTTCCCAAGAGCTTGTAAAACAAAAATTCATTTTAATTAAGTGACGAATTTGAACTGTTCCTGTGGATGTTAGTCTTTTACAAATATCAACCGGTGTTTCTGCTGCAGTCAATAGCAGCACCATTAACCACTTATAAACAGTCCCCATCATTTCAGTCTGCTCACTTAAATGGGAAGAGACTTGTGCAACTACTTTGGTTTAGAAAAATATTTCTTTGCTTTCCCCAACAAAATCAGTATACCTTTAGCTGTATGTCTTCTAGTTCTATAAGTGTTTTACTTTGGTTTGACTGGCCCCAGCAAAATGGTGTCTAACAGGACAGAACTCCTGTTATTCCTGCAATTGTAGAGTTATTTTGACTCATTTGTGTGATGAATAATTTCTATGTAAAGTGTCACTATTTCTCTTAAAGTATGAGAACCATTTAAAAACATGTTCCTCCAAATAAGACAATGGTACCCTATGAATGCAAAAATGGAATGCTCAAACAATCCACTGATATGGGTCATATCTGCCCTAGGTTTCTTTTTTGTCCGTCGCAGCTTTGATTGATATGTTCTGAAAGTTGGTCTATACTTATTCATGCTTTGCCGTGTAAATATTCTGACCCCTGAAATTTCCTTTTCACCACACACTGAGTAGAATTAGTCATGCAAATTGCGCTTGCATGAGGGGAAAAGCCATGTCTCTTTTGCTGTTCACAACATACAACATGTGGGGAATAGGCCGATGGTTACATAATCCATGTGAAGCTCATTACTTTTACTGTGTAGGTTTCAACCTCAAAGCCCATTGTAATGCTAACCAGCACTTTTTAAAGAGAAAATAAACACAGATAGATAGATAGATAGATAGATAGATAGATAGCCCCACGACCCAAGCATAACACTTTTAAAACAATATATTTGCCATATTAAAACATAGAAAATTGTTAGTCATGCTACACCTGATTTGCATCCACATATAACCATGTTATAAATAGCTGTATCTTATAAGGTTGACTAACCCACCATATCTCACTTTTGTCAGTTTTTATGGCAATAAAACTTAGTTGTACTGTTATTGTAGGCTACTGTATATTAGTGTTCTATGAGAAGTAATTGAATTTTGCCAAATAATTCAGTATTACCAAGTCACTTTTCAATACAAGCTATTGAAGCTACTCTCATCGGAGATGTTCCTTTAGGGAAACATCATGGAGATTTTTACAATGTACTTGGCAGGTATTGCTTAGCCAGTCAATAGTCAAATTAAAGGCTTGAATGAATTGACTTGTGTTTTTTTTTTCACTTTACATTATAAATGCAAAAATGCAACTATTCAGCCTATGCAAGTAAGATTTCCCTCCAACCAGACAAAATTTACATTTGAGTGGGACTTCATTAGGGGGCGGCGTGATGGCACAGTAGTTAGCAGTGTTGCCGAGCAAATTTCTGTTCCATGTGTGTGGAGTTTGCATGTTCTGTCGGTGTTGTTGTGGGGTTTCCTCCAGTTTCCCCCCACAGTGTCAAACATGCTGAGGTGAATTGGAGTTACCAAATTGTCCATAGGTGTGAATGGTGTGTGTGCGTTACAATGGGTTGGCACCCCATCCTAGGTTATTCCAAGCCCTGCACCCATAGCATCCAGGATAGGCTCCAGACCCCTGTAACCCTGAATAGGACAAGCAGGTAAAGAAATTGGATGGAAGGGACCTCATTACTTCACCAATTATATGTTTACAGATTGCATAAAGAGTAATTATTAGCAACTATTCTGTGTGAATAAATCAAGCCTCATTGTTTTTATTGCAGTGTGTGTACTGGACAGGAGAACCCCTTTTCTAATATTACTGTACTGATGAAGCATGACACTGGTCAACGATCCTCAGTAACCTGGCCGTTAAAGAACCTGCAGGTTTCTCCATATACAGATGCTCATGAACACCCTATATCAAAGGCGTGAAGACTCTCTTTACCCATAAGACTCACGATTTTTAGCGCATTTTCCTATCTCGGTCTCCCTCACGGATTAAAAAATTTTTTATCGATGGATTTTTAGCAGTCATTTCACTGTTTTACCTGAAGTTAGACATGTATGCTCTGTGTTGAGTTAAAATGGTGTTTTAGGACGGTTGATACAGAAAGCGATTAGAACAACAGCCGTATAAAGATCTGATTGATTTTCCACGTGATATCCTACTACACGGTACCGAGAAAGTAACTTGGCGAGTCGGTAACGTCACGATGTCATTAATTCGTAGGCTGGGCTTATTCGCATATTCACAAGGTGGTGGTGCTAGATGTCCCGTAGGGTTTGGAGTGAGTGAGCGAAAGAAAGCAAGCTGAAGAGCTCTAAGAAGGGAGGAAACGCGAGCAACTGCTGAAACCTAATGTCTCTGTGTCTACTTTTTTCTTTTTTCTATACGAAGACCCTGAACAAAAACTAAACATGAAAACAGTGCATCTTAGTTTTTTAAAATAATATTTTTCAAATTTAGCATCCATTGTGAGCAAAGGCTGGAGAAGTATTCAGGGGCAACTCGAAAGAAGTTAAATTCTTAGTTTTAATGGGACACAGAAAACGTAAAAAAGTTGTTTACGATGTTCCTGCTAAACGTACGTTATAGGTTTTGAATTAAGATCAATTGTGGAATTCCGAGTACTATCCACCTAAAATTTAAAGTGTTATCTCAAAAATATCACAATTCTTTGGAGAAAACAAAAAATAGGGAGTTATGTTTCATTTCATGGAGACTGGATCGTGAAGATGGATTTACTGTGTTAGACACTACGGACTATGGATTTGCACGTCAAACTTTTATACAAATGATTTGCTCGTCGAACGCTGCTGTTTTCCTCTTTTAAAAGGGAGATAATAACCGAATATTGTTTTCGAAAGGAAAGCAGGAAAATCTCACTTCGTTCACATAAAGTATGAAAATGTGCGTTTTGCTCCTGGGGATAGTGCTTTCGGGATGGTGTTTATTGCCCGGCCAGGGGCAGTCCAGCCCACGGCTTTGCCCGACTCCGTGCCGCTGCGACGGACTGGAAGGTGCTGATTGCTCTGGGAGAGGGCTGGTCACCGTCCCGTCTGGACTAAGCGCCTTCACTTACTATCTGTAAGTATCACAAGCCGTGTATCTTTCATACAGCTGCAGACTGATGCAGTCACAACTTCCAAATAGCAGAAGTAGTACAATGCATCTAAGTTTTCATTGCTCAGCATCGTTTCATATTTTCATGTTAATTGCACGAGTTCAGGAATATCGATAATTTACATTTAAGCTTTTGCTGTTTCAAAAAAAAAAAAAACCTTAACACCAAGGGTCAAAATGGGAACAAAAGGAACGAAGTGCAAGTAAGCAAGCCTGGGACAGAAAGCTGCGAAGTCTCCCTTGTCTGTTTCCTGATGTTTTTCCCTTCTTTTTTTCTGGTGGTTATACAATTATACTACCTTTAGAAATGTGTGTTTATATGTTAGGTTCATTACCCCCACCCTTTTTGAGTATAATTTATTAGTGGCTAGAGGAATTCCTAATGTTCTGGTAATTCCCTTGAAGCAGGGAATACATTAATATTACTAAATAATTAGAATGAAATTAAAACGCCAGTTCAGCTGCCCATTATCCAGTTTTTTATGCATATAAAATGCAGCTTTAAAAATAATTATTTGAAAATTGCTCATTTATAAGACTTTGTCAGAGAGCAAGTACCAGGAATATGTATGTAAGTTAACCTTAAAATCTACTTTTTATGCAAGTGTGTTGCAACAATTCAAATGAATACTTATGTGTTTTTCTTAAATTCTGCAACCAAGCTGTATTGTATATGATTTAACCATTGCTCAGCACCTTTTAATCTTTATAAGCCTTCTAAGAAATGTAAGTGAAAACAGTGATGTGTGTGTTTAGTTTTTAAAGAAAATGGTACATAATTATTAGTCAGCACACTATCATTAGTGCCAAAAACAGCAACAGGCTTCTAACAAAAAGATTCGAGTCCGAATCCTGCACGGAAACTGCAGTTGAGCCCATGTGATACACTTTACACAGAGTTTTTCTGTGAAATACTGAGCTGTCTGCTTACAAAGTTGCTTTTGTTTTTAGCTCAATCGTTTAGCATAAACGTCTTTAAATATTGTTGTCTCTGGTTTGAAAAGCAAATCTGTTACATTAAAATGAAATACTGGATTATCCTTTGTTCCCAAAGCTTCGCCATTGATCTGCCAACGCACAGAATGAGCATGCAAATCATGAGAATATCCTCGTGCAGTAGTTTCACCTCCCACATCTGTGCAGAGACGCCTTGATGGTGCAGTACACTCACATACACTTGGCACTCACCTTTCCTGTCACACCCCAGGAATGCACAGGGAAGCTCACAACAGGCTTTTCACATACTAAGAAATGTTTAGGGAGTCACTAATGCATTATAGCTTAGGATAAAATAGTTAAACAATAAGGTCATCACTTGGGCTAAGATGTACTTTTACTAGATTATTTGCTCTTTTCATAAGCTTTGTATTCTCTAATGTGGAACGCTGTATATTTCTTTGTCTAATTATAAAGCATATTTTAAAGCTTAATCATCATATTTGCTTGCTCAAACATGCACAGCACTTGTTGGCAAAGGGAGATGGCACACTGGCAATCTATCACTCAATACCCATATTTGCAGAAAGTGAAGTCCCTTTTAATTTGAAATACTTTGTCACTTACAATATTCAGATTCTGTTGTCTGTGTTGTCATTCAGTGAATAAGCCATGTTTCAAACATTTCACTTTTAAAATGTTTACACATTTTAATGCTGACTGAAAAGCCAGTTGGTTTATCCACTTCTCTTGCAGACAAACTGGCACATTTGGCAGATTGCACTGGTGAACTGACAGTAGAACTGCACGATTTATTGGTTAATTATACACTATGGTGACTTTCAAGTTTTCAAGCAGGATTTGTGCCATATTCTCTACATTGGTGAAAAGAAGGTAGTTTAATAACCGTGAATGTTCTTAAAAAGAAATACTTATAATATATACATAATACAAATAATATGTTTACATATATATATATATAAAAACATGGGCAACAATATTATACTACATAAACTTTTTTTCAGAATTTTACTTGCTGCAATATATTTTTATGAAAAATACCCAAAGATCATATAAGCTGTAGCTTACAATAACAGTTAATAATGTCTTTTTTCAATTACTTTTTGCCTTTTAATATTGTATTATAATATTGTAGATAGATAGATAGATAGATAGATAGATAGATAGATAGATAGATAGATAGATAGATAGATAGATACTTTATTAATCCCAAAAGAAATGTAGTATTCTCTGTAGGTCCAATAGTTTGCATCACAAAGAGATTTGGTATTTTAATGTAGTTCAAATTTTCATTTTATAGGCCAGTTGTAGTCCACATGCAAAGCCACATTGCAGATGCTAAGCTTAGTATAGGATTCAATAAGTAAATTAAGGATTTGGGGCAACCAAAGTCTTTCAGCACTACGACATTTGAAAGCCAGCAGCCTTGAAATGCTGTGTAATTAGATATAGCTAAATGTGCACCACTTTTTTTTGTTACATCAGGGTTAATATGTACATATTTGGTTTGGTAATATTTACTGTTTAACCTCTCTGAGTCAGAAACATAGTTTGTAGGTCAGAACAACTGAAGTAAGAGAGGAGCCAAAAATGGGTGAAAAGTGATGCAAGATTTCTGATGATGACTGTTGTTGTTGTTGGGCATCACGGTGGTTTAGTGTTGCTATTTCTAGCAGTTGGAAGATGGATCATGGGCGTAAATTATGGGGGGTTTGTACCTCCCCCAATAATCATAACAAGCCAATACAACCCCCTGGGCCCTCTTAAATTGGTGGAGATGTCCACCCCCTCAATACTCAACCCAAAGTTATGCCCTTGAGGTGGATGGATTATTAATATTATTGTTATTAATTTATTTGATTTTATTTTAATTTGATCATTGAGAAGATTATTTCAGATTTTTTAGCATGCTTGCTTTAAAGAGATGAAACACAAGAAATTCCATAATATAAATTCAATGTTCCATGCTTTCCCATTGAAAAATGGTACCATATTAGTTTTACCTTGATAGGGCAAGGGCACACAAGAATGAGTAGATTTTAGTAAAACATTAGTTTGTTGACTAACTTTTAATTCAAGTTTGCTGTTCTCTGCTTTTGTCAGAGAATATGTAGCCACTGTTCAGTTTTATTAGGTGATCAGCAGTATTTGTCTGTGTTGCCAGAGAAATGGAGACAGAGTCAAGGTCTAAATTTGTACATTGTAACAAAAGTATTTTCTAAATGTTCAAACAAATCCAGCTGAGGTTTTAACTGGGCAGTTATTGCTTCTATATATGTATCACCAGCTTTAGTACTTCAGTGTAAGCAGGGATTGTGCAGGAGACAAAATCCCTAAGACTACAACTTATCGTGTCCAATACTGAACACATGTTCAGCACTAGGCAGCCTTTGCCAAGGAGTTCTGGACTAGCTGAGTCCAAACAAATGCATTTGCTTACTTTTTCGCTCTTGCTTAAATTTCAAAGCTTTTGATACATTTGCATCAAATAAGGTCGATGCCTGGAGCCAATTAAACATCTGCCTACTTGCTCCCGGCTCGTTTATGCACGCTGCCTCACACCCTTTCTTACCAGGCGTGAAAAAAAGTTTGTCGTTCATGTTGTTAAGCTGTACTGTCAAGCAGGAGGACCTGTGAGTGTTGTGGATTAAAGAAAGAAGAATGTGTCACCAAGCAGCCTAGTCTCAGACATGCAGAAGAGCTTGGTCTTTTGTGGTAGTGCTGGGCCATCAGTTTATCACGAACAGGTTTTTCAGATCAGAGTTGGGTGACGCATCTATTTCGAAGCTTTCAAACATCTGCAGAGTGGACGGTGCTCAGCTGGATGCACAAAACAAACTTAAGTTTTGAATTCCCAGGGAGAGAGCAACATGAGGGCAGCGACTCTGTGGGTGGTATGAGGTCAAGGGTCACGTATGTCTAATGAAGCGTGGTGGCGCTGAGGCAGATCTTGCCTTTTTGAGGTGGGATTTTGGGGGTGGGAGACTGTTCACTAAATGCATTATTCAAACACACTACAAATACTCTGGAGTGAGAAGCCTAAAAATTCCACATACCTACATTGTACATTTAATTAATGTTCTGTTGCATACTTCACTCATGCTTCTGCAGTGCAGCTTGTGGAGAATGGCAGTGGGTCTGCATCCTGTAAAGGTGACTGTGCAGTGAAAAATCTTTTCAAAAGATCTGCTGCTCTGGGGTAGAAACAGCTGCTTTACCTGTCCCTATACCAGTAGATTTACAGAGAAATGCAGACATACAGCTTTCTTACCAAATACCATTTGAACAGTGACTGATGAAGCCCACTGAATGTAACAGGACATACAGTAAGACTGCTGCAGTTACTGCTAGGAAGCATTCAGCAAATCTGTTATGCAGACAAATTTTAGACATGATCATTAGTGATACAACTGTGATGAGGATGTGATTTATGCTCTGATTTTGACCCCTGCTTCTCATAAAGAACTTCTGCAATGTTGGCTTGAGCTGACATCCAATACAGGTTGTTCCTCTGTCGTGACCTGGTCTCCCAGTGAACCTGTAATGGTTTAATGGTTGGAAGATGGATGGTTGGATGGATGGGTGATCTACAGGGAATCCTGTACTGCTCATCCACATGTTCTAGTTGTATCATATTAACCAGAGGTGGATAGTTCAGGTCCAAAAAGTAAAACTACAGAACAAGATTTTGTTTCAACCAATCAGTTGAGTATAAAGAGTCAAAGTCACAGGGTACTCAACTGGTTGTTTGAAACAAAACCTCAGTCTGAACTTTTACTTTCTGGTCCTGAACCATCCAGCTTTGATTTTAAATGTACATTATTGTGAAATGATTTTGTTTAGCTTGAGATCAGATGATCAGAGGACCTTTTACGTTTTAAGTCTCTTTGGGGACAAAATGAAAAACAACAAACAAATTAATTTTTGTATAGCGCATTATCACAACATTACATCTTCTGAAAGCGCTTTACAGCATCCCCACCCAAAGCCCCCAGTGAGTAAGCCAT